TATGCTGTAGGTGGGCTCGCCCCCAGCTCTGGTCCTGGTCTGCCGCTTGGATCTCCCGGATTGACCTCGGTGCTCGGAAGGAGCCTGCCTTGCTCGGTTGATGTGGAGGTCCAGCGTGAAACCCCAGCCTTCCTCGCCTGGGGTGCTGCACCGACAGCCTTCTGGCTCCTGGTCCCTTCCCGCCCGGCTCCCCTGCTCAGCCCGACCTGTGCCTGCTACGGAGCCGCTCACGCAGAGCTAACCTCTCCCTGCTGGTTTGTCTTCTGAAGCACACTGTGCGTGGCCATGACACCTGAAAGACTCCACGCTTCCGTGCAGGGCAGTGATTTTAGCAGCCCTTTTTAATAACCTGGCATTGCTTAGACAGTTGCAAGTGTCTGTGATCTGCTCCTGCCCTCCCCAGAGGGACATACGTACCCCCCAGGTCCTGTTGGTCAGTCCTGGAATGGTGGTTCTCTGCTCCCGAGGAAGGAGCAGCCAGTAGGTGGATGGGCCCGTAGGAGACAATCTTATTGTAGTCATCCGCCGGCGCCCGCTTGCTCCTCCAGCGCCCGGGGCATTGCTGTCAACGAAGCCAAGGGAAGGGTGATGGGACCAGAGGGCAGGGGAGAAGCCTGCTCCGGGGGGCAAGAGCTGTCCTGGAGCTCTCCCCCTGGCAGAGGCACAGTTGGGGCCGCAGCCTGGGAGCAGTCAAGACCCCAGAGCATGAGAGGAGCTGGCTCCTGAAGGACCTTAGCCCGCTCCTCCCCAAGTCCTAGCATAACCTCTCCTGCAAATACCCAACAGAGGGAAGAGGGAAAGGAGCTCTCTGGTGGGTTCAAGCCCTCATACCTCTAGTTCAGGGTGCTGGGGTGAGCTCCTGCTGCTGGGAGGTGTTTATTGTGCTGAGGCACCCGAAACCAGAGCAGAGCCCCTTCTCCGAACTGCAGGCCAAGGGAAGGGAGGTCCCCCTGCCCGGCACACACCACCGGGAGAGCTCACCTTGGCACAGGGGTCTGGGCTGTCGGGGAGACAGAGCCGGACATGGCAGTGCAGAAACACCTCGGGGTAACCAACAAACTGAAACATCTGGAAGCTGAACTTGGCAGTAGTGCTCTCTCCAATGGCATTCAGGTATGTCACTGTCTCATCGTGGGGACACCTGGGACACGATGGCTGAGTCAGCAGGTGGCAAATGAGGGGGAGCATGGGGAGCAGGGGGAGCAAACGAGGGAGGTGTCCCAGCCTGGGACACCAGAGCACACAGGGACCGGGTGCAGCCCCCAGGCTTTGCTGAACAGGACTACTTCTGTCTCGGTGCCGGTGGGGATGCCTTTCCTTGGCACCCTGCGCTGTGCCCAGCTCAGGGAGGAGCTGCCACCAGCACAGGAGCTGGCTCGTGTCTTGCTCTGTGGGGCCACAGCTGCTCTGCAGGGGTGGAGTGAGCCTGGCTGTAGCTCCCACTTCCCAGATATCCACGTTACTGGCTTTAGCTTGGCTGCAGCCACCTCTAATGCAAGCTCTTCAGCAGATACCTCTATGCACATCCCAGCAAGGTCTCCCCTCTCCCCTCCTTGCCCTTTGCCTCCCCAGCTGGCCAGGAGTGATGCTAGAGAGAAGGCAGCACTGTTGGCAGCAGAGCAGCGTCAGGAGAGGGGACTCAGTTCAGAGCAGGTAGGGAGCTCATCTATGGGGCTGTTCCACCTATTCAATGACGGTGTCCAACCATAGGTTCCACCTATGAGCAGTGATGGTGTCATTGCTCATTGCTCCCTCACAGCAACCTGTCCTTAGCACCCAGCAAAGAGACGCGACTGTGCTCATGGTGCAAGGAGGCCAGATGCGCTAGGGGCACTCCACTCACCCCTTCTCAATGAGCTTGTGCCGCACATCCTGGTAGGGATCCGCGCTTGGCGTGGCCCAGCAGTCCTCAACGCTCAGCCGAAAGTATTTGAGCT